CTCATTTTAACGTCAACTAGAACGTCATTTACAGAAGAAAATTTAGGGATGGTTCTTTCAATATGCGTTAACAGCAATTTTTTTATATCCGTATCCGATTTGTGATTGATATTACAAATCGGATCATGTTTTTTTGAATTAAAGTTATAAAATAGAGCACTTCGGGCCCACAAAAGCTGTGATCCGGCCCTGGTTGAAGTTAAGAGACAAAATTATAGCACAAATCAAATAAAAACTATATAACATTTTGTTTTATAACTTAATTTTTATTATTTTTTTTGATAACCTTCTTAAATTACAAATTTTTGAAATAATTAAGTTATACTGCGGAACAACAGATTTTTTTGATTTGTTCTGAGAAAACAAACTTAATATACTTTTATTTTTTTTTCGCTTAATCCAAGTTTGGTGTTACACAATCTCTTCAAGTGTCACTAGCGGTATTTTCTGATCTTCTTCTGTTACTTGCTTTCTTGGTTGCTTTACCTGAATGATATGAAATGGGGTCATACACGATTTTTTTTTTATTATATTTTCTGAAAGTTTATATAAAAATATAGTTACCGTTATTTTTCTTTTTTTTATTTTCGAACAAAGTCATTGTTAAAAAAATTATTGAAAATTTATATACCCATTTGCGCTTTTAAAATTCCCGCGTTGATGACGTACGATTCTCGCTTTTGCGTCCCCTGCTCCCCGCTCAAATGCGAGAAAGAGATGAACGTCATTTAGGTTGTATTGAAAAGAGATAGAGTGTTTGTAGGTTATGTTTATTATGTTTTGTTCATGGATGTAATAGAGACACTCTATTACATCCATGGTTTTATTTTGACACTGTCACACCGCAAGCGCTATCTAACGGATAATTTAACTTGTTTTAGGCAGTGCGGTTCCTACGTCACAGAAAAGCCGCGAAATTATTTCGTTTGAATATTTGCTATTTTTCACTTCAAATTACGCAAAATATAAAATTAATCAAAATATTTCTATTACTTTGTGTTCATGCATATACTTGCATATATCGTTTGACATAAAAATTTTCTCTAAATTTAATAAGTGTGTATGACCCCATTGCTCTTCACCGTAAGACGTTTTGTAGAACAGTTTATCTGGTTGTTCTTTTTCAGCTTTAATGATTTTAATGTTAGATATGTTAACTGACTCATTGTCGATGTTTTGTGAACAATTGATTGGAATGGTAGATGGAAAATTCTTTATATTGGGAAAATTGTCATTTTCAACAGCATAAAGATACATTGCAAACAAAAACTGATTCTTCTGCTGACCAGAACAGTTATCCGAATAACATATCACATCCAACTTCTTGGTATTAGCTTTCCATTCCGCTTTTCGCAACACTGTTCCGATTTCGCAAACACCTCTATTAGCTTCAGACTCGTGCCAGATAAAACAATTCACTGCCTTTGACTTCAGTTCATAAACAATGAAGTTAAAGACATTTAATTTGGAAACGTAGTAGAAACTAGACTCGTCTTCTCTGGGACATTGAAGAACTGCTTGTAAATCATACACTGCAACGACAACATTGTCTAAATTGTTTCCTTTATCTTTTTCTTTACGTGAGAAATCTTTTTCTATTAGATATGTGTCATATTCTTCTTTCATATTTTCTTTATCTTCTGCTGAAGCTAGCTCATACGATCCGCAAGTTTCACACTTATTTTCTTTGGACAAAAAAAAGATATTTTAAACTCGTTGAAAATTCTACTATACATTAAATAATTTACATATGATTTATTATTTTCCTTACAGATCGCTACATAGTCTCTATGGAGTTCGGCCACTGTTTTTCCTCCTTCGATGTATTCTAGGCTAGAATCCTTCCTACAATAATGGCTCTCCATACGCGGTATCGAATTTATATGGCTTCGAATACTATTTTTCATATCGTTGTCAATTTGGTAATGATTATTATGTTTTCCTCGCTGATCTGAAGTTATCATTCTCTTAGTAGTAAATATCTACTTATTAAATACAGTTCTAATTGGCCTGTCCATTATCGCTAATGTGGATTTGAAAAAGAATTTGCGGACCCTACATTTTGTTACATTAATCGTAAAATAAAATGCATGGTTGTTTGTTCGATTACTCTGTACTCGTTTATATTCATATTTGCGATTAATCTCTTCAAGACTTTTCAAAATAAAATCCCGTTGCCTTTGTAAATCACCCAAATTCCAGAAGTCTGAAAAAATTGCCTTTTGGTCTACCTCTGTGATTTTGACACTACACTGCAGTCTACATGTTGAACTGCACGGCGCAGCGGTTCTAAACTTTTAGCTTTAAAAATTGTTTTACGTTTGGAACATAGTTTCGCAACATCCTTTTTCATTTCTCGGGATTTGCCCTTCTCTTCTTGCCTTTTTGTTTATTTTCTAAATTAACTTCTGCTGTTTCATTTGGTAAAACAGGCTGTTCTGCCAAAGATTCATCTGCAGGCAGGCCCTCCTCAGAATCGCTACTCAAACTACTTGAAGATGACGTAGAACTGGAGCTGAAATTTAGATCTGCGTCCGAATCATCAAATTATGAATAGTGTTTACTACCAGATGAAGTGCCAGTTTCTGAACTGGTAACTGTTGGGGTATTTGGAATCGCTAAACAAGTCTCAATGTTACTTATAGCTAAATTTGTATTCTCATCGTTGTCCACATTGCTGTTCATTACATCATTACTTATTGTCAATAGTTGAGTATTCGTTTCATTTTGAATAACATTATTTTTATCGTCTACTTGTTTTGATAGTCTCAGCAATAGTTTAGTCCGTTCGTTAAACGGTGCTACTTGCCAATTCTCCGCTGTTCCTATTTTAAAAAGTTGCTTTTTAATAAAATTTTTCTTAAGAAAAGTGATAGAATTTAAAATGTTACGACTTAAAATGAAATTCTATTTCTTAAGAATCAACAAAAGTGTCACAATTCTAAAAAAATACATTTTAGATCCGCTTTATTATTTAGATTAAGTATAAATATTCAAGAATACTATCACAACTTAAAGAAATGCATACACAAGATAAATATACATTATTAAAGTCAACTTACCTTATGATCAAAAAAGAAACAAAACATAAAGTGACACTTTTCTTGCAAGGATTGTTTCATAACCTGGAGTTGCCACTAAGTAGTCGAATTCGATATGTGACGTTTTTCTTGAGAAACTCGACATGTACACAATAACTGCATAGACACAACAAAAACAACTAAAGTGTTGCGAAACCCTTAATTTCGCGCTCAAAGACAAAGTGACACCTGTGCCCTCTGCCAATTATTTTGTAAACTATCTTTATGACGTATTTGCTGATAAAAATAGAACATTTTTTAAACATATTTTTTCATTCAACTCAAAAATGACGATTTTTGAGATGTGTCATTTTTCTTGTGCATCAACGATATATGAATGTGTAAGAATTAGACAGGAGACTTTACTTTTCGGCCTCAGAATGGGAGAACATTAGTTTAACTTGGCAATATCAATCACGTATTATCAATAACAGAAAAGCTTTGATTATGTGAACTATGTATGTATAGGAATTCCAACAACAATCTAAATGGAACCCAATTTTCATCAAAAACCAAGGAGATCACATAAATAAAGGAATTCGAGTTCACCAAGTTTAATCAAAGCTTATTTACTTATTTAAACAAAAAAGTAGTCGGATAAATTTGTGATAGTGAAAAAACGCCATTGAAAAATAATAAAATATCAACAAATGATAAAAATCTTTTCCAGGACAGATATATTTGTTTACAACAAATGATAAACACAAATGCTTTGATATAAAATTTCAAAAAGGATTGTAATATTCTAGCATCTAGCAGGTATACAGGGTGTATCGGAATGACTGCAACAAACTTCAAGGGGTGATTCTTCTGTGAATTTTAACAGTACTTTGATATATGAACCATGGGCGACTTCGGCGCTTTTCTTACTATTATTATTGTTTTATTTAAAATTTTGAACCGTCGAGTGAACGAGCGTAAATGCGATAGAACTTTATTTAAAAATTAATTTGAAAAACAATAATAATAGTAAGAAAAAGACTGACATTTAAACGTCAAAAATATTTCTGACAAAGATTGCAAAGCCTACTAAGACTTTTTCATTAAAAATTTATTCCATCTTTTGATCGACAACCCAGTTGTTTAACGGGCAGTGTTTGCTTTATTATTTTTTTTCTCAAAAATTAGACGTTTTTGGAAAAATTTTAGACAGACAAAAAAGTTTTAGGATACTTTCATCTACCTATGTAACATTTTTCTAATTTATTTAACAACTGCATAAAAAAAAATTTTGCAAAAATGTAAAGGGTATGGTTACGTTTATGATGAGTTAAACATATTCCCCAAATTTTATTTTCCTAGCGTTTATGGCTTTTGAGAAAAAAAAATTAAACTAAAATTTTCAAATTTGGTTATTTTTTAATTTTTCAAAAATTTTCTATATTTCAAAGCTCTATATCAAAGAACCCTTAAAATTCGCTAAAGAATCACTCCTTGCAGTTTGTTGCAGTCATTCAGATACACTGTATAATTTTTTATTACATGTAATGAAATTTAGTTCAATCTTAAAAGTTGTTGAAGGTCATTTTTTGTATTAGTTTATTTTAAATTATTTTATACTACTAGTTCTCCTGAAATAAAAGCTTATTTTATCCAATTTAAATAAAGGCGCCAAGTTCATAAACATATCTATTTTGTTTAAAAAAATAATGTTGGTACCATTGCTTGTCATGTATACGGTTTGCCTATTTGAGGTTAAACATAATTCTGTGGTATTATAATGAGAAATAATTGTTATGAGTGTAATAATTAAGTGTAAACGGTGTAACCAAGTACTTTTTGACGAACAATCTACATCATTATATCTCAACGCACATTCGGACGTTGTAATCACAGAGCACAATAACGAAAATTGTACTTCCTTAACAGATTTGTTGTGTATATCTGAAGTTAACCTTCCTGAGTGGATATTACAATCGGTCCAAGAAAGTAACTGGTGTAAAGGTAAAATAAACTGTAGCAACTGTATTGCAAGAATCGGATCTTTTGATTTTATATCTGGAAACAAGTGTTCATGTAAAAGTTTTGTTCTACCACCAGTACATATTGTCAGAAGTAAAATTGATATATTTAAAATATCACGATGAGATTTAGATTTTGTGGGGATGCAGATTGCCCGGATTGGGTTTTAGCCGAGATAAATATGCTCTCAAAGTTATCATCTGTAAAATTAAAATCTTTAACACAAGTTGTTGCTCAAGGAATTATAAGCCCACCAATTGATGTAATGTTTATTACATTATTCAATAAAATAAATCCTTTAGAGAACTATGATTTACTGTAGGTAAAATTTACTTTGATAAACGTTTTTAAATGAATTTTAATATTATGAATTTAATGAGTTTTAAAAAATCTTTTATTTTCATGTTTATATACTTAATTTAAATGAAGACTCTTAATTCTATGCATTTTATTTCTTAAAGACATAACCAGTTATAAATGATACACAGTTTTAGAGATAATTTATGTATTTTGTTACAGAAAAATTAAGTATACTGTATTAATTAAGAAGTCATAGAAAAACAAGCTTACTTTTTTTAATGGAATATCTTGTATATTATACAATATTTAAGTTTTTTAATCCTCACCGACTATGCAAAGATATGAAGAATCAAATAATTAGTGATATCTAAAAAATTAAAAATGCTTGGTAGGAATATTTCAAATTGTTGAGTATTAAACCAATGGGAAATAAGGAAAAGTACTCAGAATATGAAGTGTGGGAATGATGAGAACATGGAGAAGAAATGCAATGAAAAAAATACAATAGATGAAACTCACAATGCATAAAAAAATAGGAAAGTATCAGGTATTGATAACATTTCCTCACAATCAAAAGAGAAGGTCTCAAGGAAACTTTATATGCAGATGGTATCAATATTATGAGCAGAACAATGAAAGATGCGGAGGAAACATACAAAACAATGAAAGAAGCTGCTATAGTACGGTAATTAAGAATTAATAAGGAAAAATAAATGTAATGCTGCAAAGCAGAATCAAAACCAAATATTTGGAGGATGAAAAAAAAAGAAATATAAAAAAATATTGGCATTGAAAGACTCCTTTCAATGATAATAAAAAGAAAAACACATGGAGTGACATGGAAGGGAAGGCCACAGAAGAGATTGGAAGATATGGTACTAATCTTGCTACTCACACAAGTCTGTTGTTTGCCTTTCTGTTGATGTGTTGCTTCTCTTCTTGTTTTCTGTTTAGTACCCATTTGTTAATATTTTTTACTTTGCACTCCTTTCTTCTATTTTCACTTTGTTGTCTGTCCTATAAAGCTTTCCCCAAAGCCCTAAGAATTTGTTGTCAGTTGTCTCAAGAAGTTTTCTTGTTTATGATGTATTTGGTAACGTTTCGCTGTAAAAGTCATAATAGTCTTTTGTATATTCTTGTTTTTGTGGTTGGATTAATGTTTGTTTTGTCAAATCAGTTGGTTGAGGCATCCAGTTATTTTATTTGCTTTTGTTACCTGTTGTATCCACGCTCAGATATTGAAATTTGATTTGTCGCCCTATGGTGAATTGATTTCTATCTTACATGTACAGGGTTGTTTAGACATGGTCATACATCTTCTATTTTCTGCGGATATTTCGATGCTATATTTCCTCCTTGTGGTGTTAAAAATATGTGTAATTCTTTGAATCACTTGACGCAGGACGAATACTGCATTAGTGCATAATCTTCAATTTCTCTTGTTATTACAAGTTGCAAGTTATTTTCAGTGCTGTGTCTAATAAATGTATACTTCGATAGTTGCTTGGTTCCTGTCTATTATCTTTCTTAAACATGAGAATCATTACACTACTTTTCCAGGCATCAGCTATTTTACTTTGTAATCAGATTTTTTGATTTAGACTTGTTAGTTCTCGTTTCAATTTCGTTCTGGTGATTTTCTATTTCTTAACATTTTCACAGCTTCTTTCACTTCTTCATACGTTATTTGTATATCTTGTCTGATCTGTGGTTTGTATATTTTATATGAATTCTGTTACTTCTCTATGTTGTTTCATTATTTTCCACACCTGTATTTGTGTTCCATAAAAGCCCTCTAACTTTTCGGAGAATTTTTTCCAGTAGCCATTTTTAATGGATCTTACTAGAAAGCTTGATTCGTTTCGATCTTATTTATAGGTTTCGTGGACTTCTGCGGTTTTTAGTGTTCTGTACTTTAAATAGGCCAATCGTTTTTCTTTACATTTATCTTTAATTCTTTCTTCGTAATCCTTTCTTAGCAAAATCACAGCGTTCTGTTGTTACATCTGTTGCTGTTTACTGTGATAGTTCGTTTCCCTTGTGCTTCCGTCACTGCATTTTATATGTTACTATCTTCTGCCAGCTTATGTTTATCTTCTTCGTTTTTAATTGACTATTAATCATTATATTCCATCATATTCTGAGCATAATGATTCTATATTTAGTTTTTCTATGATCATTTGTTCTGTTTTTTTTGTCTAATCGTAAGTATTATTTTGATTCTAAAGTTGCCCAGTACCAAACTATGTTCACTGCCTACATTTACCGAATTTAATGTTCTAACATCGATTATTTGTGTATATTTCTATCGGTGATTACGCAATCTAACGAAGTCTTAACCTCAATAATTCTCCTACCAATAATCACTACCAACCTTACAATTATCACATTCAAAAAAATATGATTTAAATCCCTTATCTCCCCACATGAAGACGACGTAGCCAAATCTATACTATACAAATGTGACGGGAACAAGCTATGATCCACTCTCAATCTGTATATTGTTGCAACAAAATGTTTATTTATATTAATTTTGTCCTTGAACCAAGATTTTCCTTTAACACATGGGCCTAATATATCCCAATGTCTTCCCCTTAAGCACTCTTGAATTATGCCATTCTTGCTGCCATTCATCTAGCGCTTCCGTTTGAAAGTTTCCAACGATATCTCTCCAGTCTACCTTCTACCGTCCCCACCCGCCAGCGAATCAGCCACTTCGTTTCCCTCATTACCTTTATGTGCCGGTATCCAACACAGGACAATGTTGATCTTTTTCTCAATACATTGAATAATTATACCTGTCACTTTATATGAAATAATGCCTGTCTAGTTTGACGCCACCACAATTCTTCAATGACGTTAAAGTACTAAGAGAATCTGTAAATATAATTGCTGACGAAATATCATGATTCAATGTATAATTAAGCGTCCAGCAGATGGCAAACACTTCAATCACAAAAATGGACAATCCGAATGGCATCCTTCCAGAAACCCTCAGTCCCAATGCTGGACAATGTACTCCAAACCCTATATATTCCTTTTCTCGCACAGATCCAGTCTTTGAAGTGAAAAATGTCATTCGACCACAGTTTATGAGATTCGTTAAAAATTACATTAAATGGAGCCGTCAATAGAAAGAGTGCTTTTAATTGCCGGAATTCCTAACATTATCGGACTGTTGACCATTTCTAACATTTGAGCGAATACATTCAGTTCAGTGTTGTTAAATACCCGGGTATTTATTTTCAAGGGTAAATTTCCTGGATATATACCCGGGGATATTTACCCAAGATGGGTACTTAGAGGTATTTCTAAAATTTAATTTAAATTGAGTTGATGGCAGTTTTGCAAGCACTTCAAGAATGCAGAGTCGATTATCGATATACCAAACTTATTTATAACATCTACAAGAATGCTACAATCACGATAAAATTGCATGAAACTACTGAAGAGAGTAGAAGTAGTAAAGTACTGATTGTGAGTAAAACAAGGCGATACACTGATGAACCCAAATTGTTCATCACAGTCCTGGAAAGTGCATTTAAACAACTGGATTGGACCCAAAAAGGCATAAACATTGATTGCAATGCTAAAGTAATTTGCGCTACGCGGACGATATAGTTCTTATATTGGATAGCCTTGGAGAGATTAAACTAATGCTGACCGACTTAAATGAGGTGTGTGCAAGAGTCGGGCTAAATATCAACAAGGAGAAATCAAAATTTATGATAAATTTTGTTCACTGCTCTAACATTAACATTGGGGATAATGAGATTGAGAGGGTTGACAGCTATGTATATCTTGGCTATGAGGTTCGTGAATCGAGGGATAATCAAACAAGCGCACTAAACAGAAGGATCACACTCGTATGGGCAGCCTACGGGAAACTTAGAGACATCTTCAAGAGAAAAGGCCAAGAAAGGCTTTCAATCAATGCGTGTTTCCGGTTATGACATAAAACTTTAACATTAACGGTAGCCACTGCCAGGAGATTCCAAGTAACGCAAAGATAGATGGAGGGATCGATCCTGGGTCTAACTCTGAGGGACTGCATACGAAATGAAGACCTATGAAGAAGAACTGGCGTAAATGATGTGGTCAACATTGTGGCAAAACTTAAGTGGAACTGGGCGGGTCATGTCGCGCGAATGACGAATGAGCGGTGGACAAAACGGTTGCTTGAGTGAAGACCGCGAGCGAACAGACGAAGTAGACGTCAAAAGAATGACCAACAATTGGATTCAGACAGCACAGAATAGAATCGAATGGAACAGAATAGGGGAGGTCTATGTCCAACAATGGACGGAGGGGACTCCTTGATGATAATAATCATAATAACTTGATCTAATCTAAATTACGACAGATTCGTCTAATGATAATACGTCTTTGATTGTTGACAATTCGACGTCTTCAACGTCCCCATCATCTTCCTCTTCATTTTTTTTGGAATCTCTTATATTTTTACTGGTATCACTTTTATACCCACTGTTTGGGTATTTACCCTGGCCCGGGGTAAATACTCGAATAAATACCCATTTTAGAAATACCTACCCGCCGAGTATTTACCCAGCGCCCATCACTGATCCAGTTTCTTAGTTCTTCTTAAATTATTTCGTCTAGGTGCTACCTCCTTATACATACTCATCACAACTAAGGCTATCTTTGATGTTGTCTTTTTATTTCTGTAAATTGAATACAGTGTTAGCAGTGTGGCAAAAACATTAGGTCTCAATGTATAATTTTTGATAATAAACTTCTTTAGTAACAATTTAAATCTTATATCTATAGGAAGATCACCCACCTTCACCATCAACGCGTCAGTAGGTAACAACTTTGACATACCCAAAGCCACTTTAGTGCACTGAAACTGAATCGTCTTTAGTTTATCAAGCAGATATTTCCGCAAAGGGAAAAACATCCATAAGTAATATTCAATTCTAAATTTTAGCAGTGACCTCTACAGTAATACGAATATAACTGGAGAACAGAGATAGGCTTATAATATGCATGGCTTGTTACACGATAACACGATGTTCAACATCTGTTCTTTTCACAATAATTTGGAATTTAAACACACACCAAGGTGCTTTATGGATTCCATCACTTCAATACACCGTTCATCGTATCAATACCTCTAATCTAATCTCCATATAATTACATTTCAACCAGTGCTCCGTTGAAGGAATCAACAGCAGCCTTTGCCAAGAGGACTACATCATCTTCATAAATGACAGCCTTCACACCAGATCCTGAAACGCTTTCATTCAAATCGCTCATGTAGATATTAAATAGTAAGGGGCTCAATGGACTACCCTGGGCTAATCCTTTATAAGATATCCTTTTTTCTACTGCCCATTCTTGCATGATTATAACTTAGGTTCAATTTCTTGTCCTTTAAGAGATTATGTAAAATTCGACTTAAATCTCCCAGAATCTTCTTTTATTCCAAAATTCGAAGAAGGATAGGGATAGCTACATTATCATATGCAGACTCCACATGCATAAATAGGCCACCACCACGTTACCCCTCTCGAAAGCAAGCACTGTCCCACTCCCATCCCCTTTATAAAACCAAACTGGTATGTATCTAACTCATTCTTATTCTTCAGCTGCTATTCTATTCTATTCAGAATAACCTTTTCCAATCACGGCTGCTAGCAGGTGTTCTGCCGATCTTAGGTATAGGAATAACACAAATGTCTCTCCAGCCATCAAGAATAGGATCCTCATCGTTAATCCTATTTTTAAGCGACACCAGAAAAATAATAACTGCCCCTAAGGCGTTCTAAAAAAATACAAAAGAAATGCCATCCACTCCAGGTGACGTAGTAGCCCCTTCTGTCTCCGCCGTAACGGAGGAGATTGCTCCTTCGTTGCAAATACTCCAAATATATTTTACCAAGATCTCAACTTATTTAAACAAAAATAGTTTTTTTATTAAATCAATATCCTCACATATACAGGCGTCCCCTATCTTCCGCATCAAAGAATTATATGGTTGAATACATTATTCTGAAGCGATTTATCTAATAAAATTTTTCCGAAATGTTTATAACAACCGCACGGGAACTGTTTAAAGTCATCCAATAGGAGATCGTAAATCAGACTCAGGCAATCGATACCACGTGTACTCACCAATAGATTCGGCACGGAAAGAGAAATAAACTTTATCCGTGAATATTAAATTCTGCTATTGGACGACTTTAAACAGTTCCCGTACGGTTATTATAAAAATGTCGACAAAATTTTATTAGAAAAATCGCTTCAGAATAATGTATCCTTCAACCGTATAATGCTCTGATGCGGAAGATACGAGACAGTCTGTATTCTTTTGACATTATTCTAAAAACTGTCAAGTGTAGGTATGTTACGTGGCATACATTTTTACTCACTTTTATTTTGAGTAAATATTATGGTGTTCCTTAAACAAAAAATGTAACTGTTTTTCTATAACTTTTCACTGACCTGATACAAGATTATCCGCTCAAGTGGAACGCCTTAAGTACTATGAATGAATGTAATATAACACTGTTAAAAAATGCGAAAATCTTAAATTTATGTAGATTTTCTGTCGATTATTTAGAGTAAGGTGGTACACAATATTGTTTATATAATTCTCACAGCGATAATTTAATACTAATAAGTATCTAAACGCGTTAATAACTGGTTTCGAATAATGTTGCCATAGGCTATCTGTCTTTCATAGGTTGTCTAGAGAATTTATTTTATTGAATATCCCTTAAAAGTTATGTTAATTAATGAAATAATAAAAATATTGTAGATAGAAAAAGCCGAACAGATTTTTACTGATTCAAAACTTGATGAAGCAATTGATTTAAAAGCCTGTATAGCTTGTTTGGGTTTTATATTGACATCGACTATCAAATTTAACTGTGACCACAATGCTTTACATAGCGAATTACAACAATTGGGTTTACCACGTGAACACAGCACTTCCATCAAAAGGGTGACGAGCGAGAATTGTTTGGATATTGCTACAAAGTTAAAAGGATCATCTTTAAAAAGTATTCTTTTTTCATAAGAATGAAAAATAGTTTCCTAAACTAATACCATAACACTTTTAAACAATGTGACAGTTTAATTAAAATTATTATGAACAAGTTTAATGTGAATAAAAGAATTATACAACAAATTGTATAACCTGTTGGAAAATAAGTGACCTTTCAAAACAGGAACGCTAAAAACACCTGAGTTGGGTTAATAATCTTAGCAAAAATGTCTGAATGAATCGGAAGTTCCACAAAGAAAAATAAAAAACTAATAAAAAATAGAAACGTGTGTTTAATGTTACATGTTAATGATGATATTGTAATTGGCTTGTAACATATAACGATGATATAAAGTCTATACATGTGCATTGTGAGCCAAAAGAACCGCCTTCACTAACAACACAACAACTTTTATTTCTATAAGTATGAAGGCTTTCACAGTTGGTGTTAATTGAACTAAAACTAGAACTAACAGTAGACTTAGAAATAAAAACTTTCGGGTTGCGGGTTAACCCGATCGAAAAAAGGGTTTCACGACCTCAAAGAGTGTTCAGAAACAAGTTCGAAGTTGTTTCTGAAGAAGATTGCAACATGGCATCCAAAACGTCAAACACTTTTTCAAAAGACAAAAAAAGAAAGAAACTTTCTGGTGTGCTAGTGTTAGTTCTAGTTTTAGTTCGAGTTTTATTTCTGTTAACACGTATATCTACATATACTTATAATTTTCCCGAAAAATGTTGTTTCTTAATGAAAAAGATTTGTTCCGGCATTTTTGTAACAGAAAATAAAGACGAATGTGATTGTACATCACACTTTTGCATAGAGATAAATAATTTTAGTTTAGGAAGCTATTTTTGAATTACATTACATTACACGATATATACATATATTGTTATAAATAACACTAATACTGCAAAATGTTGCATTAGAATTATCCAAGTAATAGTGGTTCTATATTGAAAGGGAGACAAAATAAATGTTTTAAGAAATTGATTCCGTGTTTCAACCATAACAGTTTACTACTGATTATAGCTATCTTGTGACCGGAGAATATTCATTTACTAGAAACTAAATATAACGTTTTCAAGCAATTATTCCCAGTCTTGACTCCGAATAACCATCATAGAAAAAATAATAGAAAGAGAAATATGTATGATTTCACAATAAATTCTTTTGTAAGTTCTTGTTTCAAAATGATAATAACATTTTTGGAAAAGCTTTTTTTGTGTAATTTAATAATTATTTATCATTCACGTTTTTGCAGCTTTTTACTAACACAATTGAGTAGATTATCGTATTATCAGATTGTGTTATTGGGCATAGAACATTACGCTGTATACTGTTTTGTTGAAAATGCGCATTTTTTAGAAATGAATGGATTAAGACACTATTAAAATTTAACTGTTTAGGGTTTTTATGCCTGCAATGTTGTGACGTAGAAATTCTTCTGAACATAACATTATAAAGTATATCGGAATTTATTATACTGCGAGTTTTTCTGTATTAGAAGGTTAACTTCAGCAAAGATAGTTGTGGTTAATAAAGACAGTATAAAGTGTATCACTCCTAAATTTCTACTGACAAGGGAAGTGTCACGACTGTGTCTCACCGATTTCGATGAAATTTGGTATAGTCATAGAATGGGCCAAAATAAGGTTCGCACATTTTTTTATACGTGCGAGAAAAGCCCCTGGGCGAGTTATAAGGGTTGAAAGTATGGAGAAAAAGTACGTTTTCACTTATATTTTGAAAACGAAAAGTGCTATCAAAATTTCGTAAATTGTAGCTGATATTCATTTTAAAAGAGCTTTTGATGTATCACACATATACCAGAGGGTTAAAAGAGACGAACTATCCCTATTTTTTCGGGTTTATTTAAAAACCACCCTATCGATTTTGATGACGTTAAATATACTTGTAGTGCATTCAAAAATATTAGCTAAGTGTTTTTTCTTATTCATCGTAGATCAACCCTAGCGATGTTACGAAGGTTAACATGTAACTACTTTTCGTAAGAATGATGTGATAAAACTGTCAGGTATTTTGAAAATACTTTAAACAAAACCGTAAATTAGTCGCACAATAAAATGTTTAGTGTAAAATAAGGCATAATACAGCATTTAGGGGTGGTTAGGGTTAACCACCCCTTAAAAATTAATTCTATCCCGGGCGTTACTTGTTGATTACGACGAAATTTAGCACTGCGTTTGTTTTATATTTGAAGTAAAAATTTTTGAAAATGGTTATTTAGGTTACAAATTAGAGGTTTTTTGTTTATATCTCGAAAATGAAAACTGCCGTCGTAATTTGTTAAATGTAGTTCTACATGTAATTCTACATAGTATTGGAAAATTGAAAGTCGTGGAAAAAATGTTTTAAACATAAGGATTTTATACACCATGCACATTGACTTCTCACTCGAAAAGCAAACCACGGGATTTTCAAAATGATCTGGTGTCTCCTCTATATAGCCACTTGCAAACCATGCGTATTTAAAAACATTTATAAACCGAGGGGAAGACAACTGGTTATGCGTTAGGGATTGCAATTTTAATATATTATCCCTCTGATGTAAAATGACATCACACTGGTAAAGAATAATCTGATCAGAGAATATTCTAATAAAATTTTTCCATATTCTGAAACCAAATACATCTAGGGGCTGTATTTGACCTGTTGTAACTGCAGGTATAGATAAATGATTAAAATTAGCATCTGATGGAGTTATTTCACTAATAACTTCCGGACAATGGCCACTCCAAGAATCTCATAATAATAATGATTTAGAACCAGTATTTGGAAAATATACATTTTGTAGCCAATTTTTCATGTGTTCTAAAGTTAACTTTCCAGATTTTGATGCCAAAACGTACATATTGTCTGCCTTAAACATTGTAGTTGCTACCCTCGGTCCAAAGCTGCCAGAGGTTTCTTTTAAAACAATAAAAAGTGGTGAAAGAAGTTTCCCATCAGCAGATATTACGGGTTGAATTATGTAACTGTGCGTTGTAGATGACACCGACTGGACCATACTTTCTACGCTTTTAATTCCTAAATCGCTTAATGTTCTTCCCGAATGGAATTCCAAGTGAAAACCGCTCTGATCCGAATTGTAGGTGTTTTCAGGTCCATATATTTGGATTTGTAGTTTTGCCTCTTTAGCAAAATCTTTTGCTAAAGTTTTTACTCGATCAACATTTCCAATTTGTTTTCGGGATAGAAATGTTGTTATTTTTCCAACCATTTTTTTTGTCAGTTGCTGTTTAACTCATAAATAAATAAAATATCCCTCGTAACATCGCTATTGTTGATCTACGATGAATGAGAAAAAACACTTAACTAATATTTTTCAATGCACTACAAGTATATTTAACGTAATCAAAATCGATAGGGTGGTTTTTAAATAAACCCGAAAGCACTTTTCGTTTTCAAAATATAAGTGAAAACGTACTTTTTCTCCAAACTTTCAACCCCTATAACTCGCCTCAGGGGCTTTTACCGCACGTATAAAAAATGTGCGAACATTATTTTGGCCCATTCTATGACTGTACCAAATTTCATCGAAATCGGGGAGACACAGTCACTTCCCTTATGAGCGAAAAACATGAAATCTTGCAGCACAACTTAGAGCACAAATATTTACAAATATAAGAATGTCCACAAATTTATTTATTGATGCAATATTTCACGGTGTTCACGTTGAAAACTTCGATTTTGCGATATTCTCAGGAGATATATAAAATAGCTTCAAACAGTAGTATTATACAGGTGTCTCCGAAATGCGTGTACAACGGAAGACCACAGATTCCTTGGCTAAAAATAGGTCGATATAAGTTATCTATATCCGAAGTTACTTCATTTCGCCGCTAGAGGACTTCAAAGTTAGTAAAAAGAATTCTTTTATTTTTTTATAACTCGAAAACGCGCAAATCAATTGAAACCATTTTTCAGATGTGAGTTCCTAGGTTCAATTAACGTGTTTTTATAGTTTTCGATACAATTTTAGAAACACAGGAATGATGGAACAGTCATGTGTTCACCGGATATTACTTCATTTTTTTTTCTGGCCAGGCGACAATTACATTATTGTAATTTCTGAATAGCCCATTTAGTTCTAAAGCGTTTTTGTCTCTTATAAGATTTAGATTACATATGTGATTAAGTCAGAAAAAAGGTATTTTTAAATATCTGCAAGCCTTGTTTACGTTATTGCAGTTACATTAGTTACCTCATCGTAGTTGGCACTGATTTCAACTAATTGCAATTTATGTTTAACGTCAATACAATATCATTAATTGATCAAAAGCATGGGAATTCAATGATCCTCAAAGCTTACAGTTTTAGGAAAAAACGTAGTCGTATTTAGTTGATTCAGTGCGACAAAGAGAAACTTTTAATCAATTCTAAGAAACAAAAGGATAATGCATGTGTTATTCCAATGATAAAACATAACTGTAGTATGCTTTGCATTTAACTGTCAGTTAACATCAATAAATCGTGTTTATAGTAGAAACCACGAGAGCTGGCAGATCGCTTAAAAATGGTATGAATCAAGATATGGACGTACGACTTAGATTATTTCACCACATACATTTAAATGTAGGTTATGTTAGTAATGGAGGTTANTATCTCTTTCTAACACACATTACTTTCTAGCGGTTTGTGAACTACGTATGGCATTTGTAAGAGCGGAAAACGATGATTTACTGCCAGCTCTCGTGCCGTCTACTATAACGATATTTTTATAATGGATACTTACACATATGATGAGCAAGTAGATATGATTTTAGTTTATGGTCTATGTCAATTTAATGGTCGCAAAAGCGTTCGAGTCTATAGGGAAAAGTTTCCTAATCGTCCAGTGCCAAATCACCAAACGTTTGGAAATATCTAAGAAGTCTCAGGTAGCTTGAAACCGAAACACACAGATTGTGGATGTCAACGTACAAGGCGAACTGTAGAGTTGGAAGAAAGAGTTCTTGAAAGAGTGGCAGAAAATCCTAAAGGAGTTAGTACGAGGCGCTTAGGAAATCAACTAGAAGTCTCTAATGATGTTGTCCATAAGGTAATAAAATTATTACACCCATACCACCTTCAAAAAGTACAAGAGCTTTTACCTGTGGATCACGAAATGCGTTTGACTTTCTGGCAACTCATTCAAAACGAACAACAAATTTTAGTAGAAGGATTTTATTCACAAATCATGTTTATGCTGAAGAAAATCCGCGTATGATCACAGCAGTCCATCATCAGCATCAATTAAAAGGTCAATGTTTGGGCTGGAATTATTGGCGATAACATCATTGGACCGGTCATAATGCCAAATCGGTTAAATGGCAAAGTTTATTTAAATTTATTAAGACAGTCGTTACCGGATTTGTTAGAAAATTTACCTTTAATACTTTGTCGCGATATGTGGTTCATGCACGATGGTGCTCCGCCACATTTTACGATAGATGTTCGGCAATATTTAAACCAACAATATCCTGGTCGATGGATTGGAAGGGGAGCTGATGCCCCAATAAAATGGCTAGTAAGATTACCAGACCCATACACATAGGGCTTGCAATACCGGACCAAAATCTCAATACCGGTATTCGGTATTCAAAATTTTTAAAACCGGGATACCGGTGTTAATACCGGTATTACTATAAAAAAGTTTACTCACTAAATTACAATCACTAAATATATCTAATTGTAAGAATTTTTCCCCTCTGCGGCGTCATCTCTACTAACAACAGGTTAATTCCTACTATATTTTTAGATTGGCAACAAAGCATAAGATACAGAATCTGAGAAGATAATCAAAAAATGGAAAGATATTAGGAATCTGTACAAAGTATCAATAAACTTAAAGGTCTGGATACCATTATTGTTTTGTTGTCTTTCACTTGGTCCAAAGGTTCAACTTCACTGCCTCTGTGGAATTCTTTCGAATTCTTGTTTTGGAATTTTCTGGAAAGGTGCAGATTCAAGAAAGAAACTTTAACATAATGGCTCTTGGTAGTTTGTCAGACTTATCATACTACTGTTATACTTGGTGGGACATTACACGAATCAAACTCACCTGAAACACCATTATGGAGTAAAAACTCCAAAAATAGTTGTATGCAGAGACTATTTTATTGTTGGTTAGGTATGACAAATTTATTGTACACGAACATTAAGTTGTCATCATCAAAGGTTGAGTCGTTGACCGTTTTCAATCGGTCGCTTCCGGCTAGCATTTTCTAAATAAAAATAATACCGAAATACCGGTATTTTGCCATCAATACCGGTTTATAATACCGGACAAGAATTGTCCGGGATCCCGGTATTGCAAGCTCTACTTACACCGTACGATTATTTTCTCTGGGGGACATTGAAGTCAAAAGTCTATGCCTCTACAATTGATAGTGAAGAGTAATTACGAAGAAACATTTTGTTAGCATTTAATACATTAAATAATCGCGACACAATGAAAGAGTGCAATTTAACTTTTTACGACTAGTAAATTTATGTATTTTGAAAAACGGTGGTCATTTTGAACAATTTTTGTAAATATTTCCTACTTTTTGTGTTTGTGTTTATTGTTACCCTTTGTTTCTTAAAATTGATTAAAAGTTTTTCTTTCTAGTACTGAAACAACTAAATACGACTACGTTTTTTCCTAACACTGTATGCTTTTAGGATCATTGAATTCCCACGCTTTTGATCAATTAATGCTATTGTATTCACATTACACATAAATTGCAATTAGTTGAAATCAGTGCCAACTACGATGAGGTAACTTTTACAACTGCAATGACGTAAACAAGGATTGCAGATATTTAAAAATACCTTTTTTCTGGCTTAACCACTTATATAATTAAAATCTTATAAGAGACAAAAACGATTCAGAACTAAATGGGCTATTCAGAAATTATAATAATGTAATTGCCGCCTAGCCAGAAAAAAAAATGGAGTAATATCCGGTGAATACATGACTTTTCCATCACTCCTGTGTTTCTAAAATTCTAAAATTTCTAACGGCGATATGAAACAACTTTGGATATAGATAACTCAACTTAAATCAACCTATTTTGAGCCAAGGAATCTGTGGTCTTCCGTTATACACGCATTATGGAGACAGGCTGTATAAAACCTTCAAAACTTACTAGTTTATTTACTAGGTACTTTGTATTAAAAATAGGGGTGATATGTAACCCTTCTCATACGAGGTGGGGTATCATATACCCCAGCTTCAGAAAACCTGAAAAAATTGAAAAACAAAAAAGACGCGCGAGATCGTGTTCTATGTAAAATTTTTTAGAAATAGTATTTTATTTCCGGGGTATGTCATACCCCACCAGTGTGGCATGTGACATTAATTCAACTCGTATGCGGAGGGTTAACTAATAGTTTACATGATTTAAAATAAATTAATAATTAAAAATAAATTATTCTGTTTTCCACTCTAAATGATACCCCTCTTATTTGAATAATTTCAACAATGATACAGTTGCGGACATTAAATTTTAACCATCGTCAAAGTTTTTGTTTGGGGTCCTTAAAATTATCGACTGTCAGTAATGAAGTTTTATTATCCTTAAATGTTTATGCCTTTGGAAACTTTATCACGCCTCATAGTTTTTCCCGTAAGTTTCCCGAAGCCCCCGTATATTTAGAGAAAGGAAAATTGTTCTTGATAAATTTAGACAAAATTAACCACTAATTTTTTTTCGTAAATTCGTGTACATTCTACCAATCATGATGCAGTGCTATAAACTTGAAAAAAACTCATTTTCAAAAATTGTATTAAGTTGTGTAAATGACGCGCTGCTAACGCATATTATTCATATTTTGAGCACACTTTCCAACAGAATTAGTTTGTAAAGTATCTACAGTGATTGAGTCAGGCACTGAGTACTGAATAAGTCGTTCAAATTGGAAAAGCATTTGTTCGATAGATTTTGCGATATCAGGGTCACCGTTTTGAAAAATACAGTTTTCACAAAAACGCGTTTAATTTGGTTGGGGTTCAATCAGATATATAGGGTCTTTTCAACGCTGTAATTTCCGAACGGCTACGAATATCGGAAAATGAATTTACCCACATAGTCTACACTGTATTTGAATGCAATCAAATAAAAATAAGAAAAAAATCGATTTTTTTTAAGCAGTCACACGGGATGGCCCCTTTATGTTTTGAGCACCGTCTACGCGCGTTCCTAGTAACATACATCGACTGCACATAAATAAGTCATCGGACCCTTTGTATCATTACTGTATATTTGGCAAAGATACATTATCTTTAAATTCATAATATAAGTAAGTTTTGACATCAAAGTTTGCCAATAATATTAATTCCTCTAATTTACTGTCTAAAACTGTACGTATTCTATTGTGTTATTTCACAAAACATATACCATATTTTCTCATCAAAAATAAGAATATTAATGTTGGTTTTATTTTTTAGTAAATCCATTGCAAAATTTCATGTTGCATATCAACGAAAAATCTAATTTGGTGCATTTCAATATGAGTATAAATGATAAATCAACTACAGTTGTGATGACGCCATATACTAGTGATATTTTATTGGAAAATTTAAAAGGAATAAGAGAAAGTATGAAAGAAATGATCGACGATCCATATAATATATAATGTATTTTTTTATATAAATACATATACATATAACCTATCTCAATGTGTTTTATTTATTTTAAATAGATTTGTTTATCAATAGCAGAAGCATGTGGTTCGTTTTGGATGTATTTTCAAGATCGAATATGAGATAGAACTTAATCTCTATAGGTCCTACTGAAAGAATTGGCTAAAAGTGTAAAAATGTATAGGAGTACTCTATTGTGGGGTATGATTAATAATCTAATTTTCTTAACTTATAGTTAGAAATAATTACGCATTTACCATGGTCAAACATAATTTTACTAAATTAGTTGAATATAATTATATAGATGTATTTTGGTTAATCACATGTATATCTACGGTTGGTTGGTCCGCCTACCCGATATGTACACCAAAACAACTTCAAACCGGAGTTCCGCAGTTACCACCTGTAATTTTCTTAGAACATTATCAAACTCCGAGGTGAACTTCTACGCAGATGACTCGCAAATTTATTTATCGTTTCCTCGTAAATATCGTAAACCAATAAAGGTCAAGGACACGTCTCGCAACTTGGGTTTAAAGCTTGATAGCGATTTAAGATTCCGTGAACATATTACTAGTAAAGTTAGGAAATCGTTTGCTGCTCTGAAAATGATATATGCTAGTAGATATTTGTTGACGACATCAAATAAAATAAGATTATGCGACAGTTTAATACTTAGTAATTTTGATTATGGTAGATAGAACAGATAA